CATCTGTAATCCCAGCACTTTGGGAGGCTGAGGCCAGTTGAGATCAGGAGTTCAAGACCAGGCTGGCCAACATGGTGAAACCCTGTCTCTGCTAAAAACACAAAAAGTAGTTGGGTGTGGTGGCAGGTGCCTGTAATCTCAGCTACTCAGGAGGCTGAAGCAGGAGAATTGCTGGCACCCAGGAGGTGGAGGTTTCATTGAGCCGAGATTGCACCAACACTCCATCTCAAAAAAAAAAAAGACTGGGACATAGGAGACACCTGTCAAAGATGCTTGTGAAGATCCACCTGCTTCCAGTGGAAGCAAGCCAAGCGTCAGGCAGTGGAAACGCTCAGAGGCTCTCGGTCTGAAGTCACCTCCTCTGGGGTTGTGCAGGGCAGGGCGGGGCTCCCACAGGTGTGCAAACAGATAGGGACGGCCACCTGCTGCACATACTCCTATCCTAGGGGCTCTGGAAGAGGTGCAGATGGGCAGGGTGGGTAGGATGTGGCTCGGCCCTGTGTCAAGTGCTCCTGACTTCCGTGCCGGCAGACTAGAAGGCACCTCTGGGAACCATCTGTGATGGAAAAGTTCCAATGTCAAGGAGAAAAGTGAAAGCAAGATGTCAGTTGATATTCAAAAGGCATTTCACTGTCCTTGTCCCTTGAGAAGGACTTTCTTCAAATTAGAACTCACCCCCAACTCACCCTGCAAGCCCCCCCAAGTCTCTTGAACATCAGTTGTCTCCCAGATCAAGTTCTTTCAGTGGACGGTGCAGAGTGGGGGAATGTTTCCTCAACGCAGCCTCGGGTTAGTAGGTTAGTCTGGGCGCACTTTATCCTCTGGGAAAGGGAAAGGGTTGGGTGGCCACAGGCAACACAAAAGATGGAGGTGGGGGGACAGAGGGAGGGAGAGAGAGAGAGAGAGAGAGAGGAAACAGAGAGACAGAGAGTCAGAGAGAGAGAGAACCTGCCCTGCCGAAACAAAGGCAGCAGCTGGGTGGTGTCGGGGGTCCCCCGGGGCCACAGAGCTCCCTCTGCCACCAATGGAGGGGATCAATTTCCCTGCTACAAAAGACCTCTTCAAAGGCTGGGGCCAGGCTGGATTCTCAGTGCTGGTATTCACCTGCAGCCATGGGGAGAAAAAGCGCTTCATTCATTCTCAACCACCCGCCCCCCAGACCTGGGAAACACCAAGAGGTCAGGCGCTCTGCCTCCCTCCCCGCAGGCTCAGCCTGGATCCCAGCTGTCTCTGGCGCAGCAGTCCCAGTGCTGCCTGTTGGGGTCTTTACCCCAGCCCGTACCTGGGAGGGTGACCCAGAAGGTTGCCTGCTCTGTGGGCTGAGGGTTCCTGAAAGACCCAAGGCTATCCCCAGTGTTTTTCCTTTGCCTGCTGAAGTGTCCCCGACTCATTTACGTGGCCTACTTCCCATGACAGCTTAGGCAGCTTAGACAGGTTAGACAGCGCCAGGAGGACCATCCCGCTTGGTTCTGGTTTCCAAGCTCTCTGCTGGGGGCTGGGCAGGCGGGACCAGGGCCAGTCGGTCAATCCCTCGATCTGCTCAGTGGCTGAGCTCAGAAGAGCTGATTAACCACAAGGCTGACAGTGTCACTCAGAGCACTGGGCAGGGGGTGGGTTCTGCACATAATTTGCCTACCACGGGTCCTTGGATGTGTCTCTATGTAACTTCTGGCTAACACAGTGACCTTTATTTGTTTTTCTCTCAATGACTACAAACTCCTTTCTGGACAAGAAGTTACAGAAAAAGGCAGATCAACTCAATGTAAGGATAAGCATAGGTTACATGAACGTGGCCTGGACTAACTTGTGAGGTAGTGAGCTCCCCAACTCTAGAGTATTCAAGCAGGCCGGGTGTGGTGGCTCATGCCTGTAACCCAAGCACTTTGGAGGCCAAGGCGGGCAGATCACCTGACGTCGGGAGTTCAAGACCAGCCTGACCAACATGGTGAAACCCCGTCTATTTAAAAAAAAAAAAAAAAGTATTCAAGCAAAGCCTGGACAAGATCTTTTCAGAAATGTTTCAGGCCGGGCGCGGTGGCTCAAGCCTGTAATCCCAGCACTTTGGGAGGCCGAGGCGGGTGGATCACGAGGTCAAGAGATCGAGACCATCCTGGTCAACACGGTGAAACCCCGTCTCTACTAAAACTACAAAAAATTAGCTGGGCATGGTGGCGCGTGCCTATAATCCCAGCTACTCAGGAGGCTGAGGCAGGAGAATTGTCTGAACCCAGGAGGCAGAGGTTGCAGTGAGCCAAGATCGCGCCATTGCACTCCAGCCTGGGTAACAAGAGCAAAACTCCGTCTCAAAAAAAAAAAAAAAAAAAAAAAAAAAAAAAACAAATGTTTCAGAGGGTCTTCACATCTGCCTACTGCATGGGCTGCTAAAAGACCCAATATCTCCCCCAACACAAAGGTTTAGTGATGTTGGCTGTGCCATTGTGCTCATATTCTGTAAACTCCATAGCCTCTAGGACCCAGTGAAATTCTTTGAAAAGGAAATAGAAGCAGTGAGACTATGTAAACAGAAAAAAAAGAAAAAAAGACCCAAAATGGGATTATGAAGGGTGGAAATGAAAATTTCTAGAAAATGCTTCCAAAGCAAAAATTCTTGAAGCAGAAATGATTTCAGCTTCCAAACTTGTACATACAGCTGAAAACCAATAAATTTTCCACTTCTGGGATGGTGGGACAGATATTCTGTTTGGGTGTCTGTAACAAGCATTGTATGACCAGTGCCATCACATCAGGATGTTGGGGCGCCTAGGATGGTGGGGTCCCCATGCCCTTACGGAGTGCTTATATCTTTTTATAGGTGTGGAAGGATTAACCTGCCTCTGAAGTTTACTGATCTCAGGTGAATCTGGAATGATGTTTAGAATCTCCAGGTCAAAAAGGAGGTTCCACCTTCCTAAGGACCCTTGAGCTGGGCTGGGTAGGTCTAGAAATTCTTCCAAACCCAGAGCTCACTTCAGGTCACAGACACTTATCGAAGTTGACCTTCCTGGCTGCGCCTCCCTGGGGAGGGGCCCCACAGCAACAGAGCCCACATGGTGTGGGGAAATCAGTCAGAGCGCCTGATTCCGAGGGAGAAACCAGCTCAGCTCACACGCCAACCTATGAAAATTCTTTATTGTTAATTTCTTTCTCCAACAGTATATTTTTAGTTGAAATATGAAGCCACAGCAACACTTTGACTTTTCCTCTTCAGAAGAGACAGGCCGGGGTCGTCATTGTTACAAGAGCAAGGCCTGTGATTGTGACAAGGACAGGCTCGGGCCGAGACCACACAGTCAACCAGGTATCGACCGGGTGCACACCCTTTACTGGAGCTACAGGTACAGAGAGGGGGCAGCCAGCAACATGGCCTCGACACCTGATTCCAGGCACTATGACCTGGAGGAGGGAGACAAGTAACTCACCTTTCCCCAGGGGCTCAGCCAGACCTCCAGGCCACTGAGCTAGGAGAGTATGTGTGTGCGCATGTATGTATGTGAATGTGCATATGGGTATGTGCTTGCTCACACAGCACACACACACATGTGCTACCCTCCTGAGAAGATGCTCTCAGCTCCAGCTGTGTTCCCCACTGTCCTTGTTCCCTGGGGATCAAAGGCTGTCAGCTAACCAGGGCTAGGGGTGAGTGCACAGGAGGACACAGGGTCATAGCCTGACGCTTGAATCCTCCTTCTGGAACAGGCTGATGGTGTCAGAGCACACTGTGAACCACCCACCGACCATGGGGCTCTCCAGGGTTTGGTCATTTGGCTCCTGTGCACTTCATGATACTCAGGAGCCCCTGTGGCCTGAGCCCCAAGCCCTGAAAAAGGGAAAGATTTGGCTCTGAGAGGGTCCCCCGGCTCTGGGCATGTAGGAGAAGGGTAGAGGCCCCTTCCTGAGGACTGCATCTTTCTCCAGCCCCTCTCCCCAGATTCCACATGTGCGAGTACTCCAGGGAGATAGGAGGCCCACTTCCCTCCCGGGGAGGGGTGGCAGGTGGGAAGACTTAGGGTTTCTGCAGGAACACTAGACCTGAACCCTCACCCCACTTCCAGGACTGCCATTCTGAACTGCAATTCTGGGCTTGAGTTTGGCTGAAGGGCCAGTCTGAAGGGACTTGCTTGGTGAAGGCCCAGCCAGCCATCCCAGTGGCACTTCGTAAACAAACAACACTGTCCCTTCCATGGAGAGCGATCCTTTGGAAGGTAGTGGGTGGTGGAGGGAACAGGCCTTGGATGAGAGAACTCCAGTGCTGGTGGGACCCACTGTGCTGGCAGCAGACAGGTGGGAGCCCAGCTGGGGTAGGTCGGGGTTGGTGTTTGGAGCTGGAAGTCTCCTAGGCCTTGTGAGCCAAGCTGGGGCTTTTATGTGGGTTCTGGGCTCCCAAGCAGGGAACTCCGCTAGATGACCTCCAGAGTCTTTTGGGGTCTCACACTGGGAACAGCTCTTCCCCTTCCAAGAGGACCCTCAAAATGAGGCCTCAGGAAGTGGGTACACAGAAGGCTGGCCAAGAGGACAGAGTACTCCAGGGATAGCATGTGTCTGGGCAGCATGTGTCTGCTGGGGCCGGCCCAGCTGGGGGCCTGGTTGGTGCCTCGGCAATCCCTTTCTCACCAAGAGACAGTGGCTGCTTGCCAGCTCATGCAGGCAATGCACATAAATCCCACCTAACGTTTACCTCTAGGCCCTGGGCTGCTGCTCGTTCAAGATGGTGCAAAGCTCCTCGGGGGCCTAGCTTTCCAGCTGTGGACCCTGCTTAGGGTCCTAGGGGTCCCCTTGCTGGTAGAGGCAGGTGGACTCATTAAAGTAAATATACTCTCCAGGTGGACCCTCAGGCCCAGAGCCAGCAGCAGATGGGGGTGAAGCCATGGCAACAGGAGTCACGGGTGAACCAATGGGAAACCAAACACACACACCGAAAGCCAATCAAACTCAAACACAAACCCCAAATGTGAAGGCAGCAGCAAGTTCTTTGTGTAATAAATATTGCAAAGCGCACTTGGTTTTTTTCAAGTCAAATATAACGACTAATGTCCCAAACCCTGTTTTCTCCATTCAAGATAGGGAAGCTGTTGCTATCAGCTGAACACCTGCAGCCAATCAAAGAAAAAAACCGGTTCCCCATTAACCAGCCAATCACAGTCCCTTCCAGTTTAAGCAGCCAATCAGACCTGTTCACATTTCTAAAAAATGACCTAACTAAAGCACCAGAGCTCGGAGAGCTTCCAGGGAAGCCAGATACCGAGGCGCAATTTTTTTTTAAAATAAGAGTCAGAAATAAAAATAAAAGGTTTCTGTTGGTCAAGATTTAAAAATAAAAAGGTTTTCTTCCTGCAGCCAATCACAAGTCCAACCCTTTAAGCCAATCATAAACGCACCACTGGTGTCTCCCTTGATGCCAGCCCCACTGAGTAGCTGTGAGGCGGGGTGGGGCAGGGCAGGGTTGGGTAGGGGAAAGGAGAGGTGGGGCAAGGGGGTCTGCTGCCACTCAGCTGGCCCAGGAGCCACACAAATCTCTTGGCCCTCAACAGCATCCAGGGTATTCCAAGGGCTTTGCAGCTACTGCCTCCGGTCTTCTGTCTCCGACCTGGAAAACGCCATCACCACGTCCTCTGCACCTGCAGATAAGGGAACAAGGATCACTGATGCGACTTCCAGCACAGGAAGGACAAGCAAGGAGGCTGTGGCCAAGCTGGAGCCCCAACCCACGAGGGTTGTGGCACTTTCTGTGG